CTGAGTTGTCCTCAAAACTGACACTTAGTCAGTTAAGTAATACAATTTAATTTTATTGATTTAGTTTTGGTAAAAGTCTATACGATCCACTTCCATGCCACAAATGTTGCTACAAAGATCATCATTATGAACAAAATCTCTTGATCTTTGAGGTAAGTGAGGATTTTAAGTGTTTACTATAAAGTTTGATTTCAAGTCATGTGTCTCTTTTACAGAAAAGGAGACTAAACATGCTTGTGACACACTGGGAATATAATCTGTGAAACTGGTTAATAAACCAAAGGCTGAAACAGCTTCTCCTAAGTAGTTTACACGTTTATATCCATATCTCCAGCTTCTTGCACTATTATGTGCTTTGTCCGCTGAGCAAAAACACAATCTGTTTTTTTGGCATAAATGGCCCACTGGTCTCAGGACACCCTCTGTCCATCTACACAAGCATTCAGCAAATTCATTAGCCTCAGGTTTGCCAGTGGAGTGTGAAGAAAAACCTCCTCACATCGCCTTCAGGATTTATGCCAGAATTCTTGGCACCAATAAAGTTTGAAATTAAATCTTTGAAGTGACAATTTGATGAAAGTCCAAGAAAAGTGCCTGATCATCAATAAACTCTCCACTCACCTGCCCCCCCGCCCCCCGAAACAGTGAGGATACCAGGGAGCAAGCAGATGTCAAAAGTGAACACGCAAGGAATCTACTTCTTCAGTGTGAACTCTACAGTTGTCTAAGAATACACATAATTTGTCTCTGTCAATTAAAACTAAGTTCTCAATCTTTCACTGGATGTACAAAAAATAGAAAATAAAATCAGAAATAGAACTTCCTGTACTCTTGAAGCAAAGGTGAAAGCAATTAGCTGTTCCAATTGCTTTCACCAAAGTTTTATTTTATGGGGTATTGTTAGTGTTGGTAGGGCTATTGAACAGGCTGTAAGCACAAGTCCATTCCTTCTATGTCTAATAAAATCAAAAATCATTAAATTTTTCTTAAATAATCAGCAACACAATAAGACTAAGCATTCACATTATACTTCAGTTTATTTGCATTATCTGGGCTCCTAGAATGTATCTCCTAGTACTCTTAACGAAATCCTAGAATTATGAAATTCTACTAGATAAATAGGAGCTCTGGTAGTATAATGGTTACAAGTTGAGATGCTAACCTCAGGGTCAGCAGTTCCAAACTGCCAGTGGTTACACGGGAGAAAGATGAGGCTTTCTGCTCTCGTAAAGATTGGCAACCTTGGAAACACTATGCAGGGTCACTATGAGTTGGAATCGACTTCACGGCACATAACCACCACCACCACTAGATAAATATCTCTGATAACCAATCATCATTATCTTATATTTTAAAGGCTGAAAACATGTTCTCAGAGAAAAATGACTCCAAATCACTAACATACAAATACTGTGACCTAAGATTCTAAAAATTTTAATAGCTTACGAGAAGACTGACAAGCAAAAATCATTGTCGTCAAATAAGGATTAACAAAAATTTGGAAATTTTTGAAAATAATTTTATACATTATAGAACTACTGTATTAAAAAAAAAAAAGCTTAAAAAGACATCCAGAAGCTAATGTACTCCACACAGATCATTTAATAATGGTGAAGGGTTTGTAACTTGCATTTAATATTTAAGAAATAGAGATTAACCAAAATTTAACTACTTATCCAAATCTGTCCAAAAGTATTATTTATCATTACTCCTCATCATATCAGCAAGGTAAATTTCAAGGAAGCAGCATATTATTACTTGAATTAATGTGTAAATCATACTATGGATAATCACCTAAAGTTGATTAAGCCAGTTATAAAATTTCCACATGAAATAACATCACCATCACTGATTATGGATTCTAAAATCTCACTGGAAATGGCATTCAATCTGGGGGTGTACAAACACACAAAGCAAATTCAATGCAATGTCCAATGAGCCCAATGAAATGAAATCTGCAGGCAGAAAATCCATGATGTAATCAGTGCCATGGATTCCTTATTTCCTTTGAAACATTCAGCTTTCCCCCCTCCAAATTCACTTGCTTTTCTCATCTTTCATTTTCCTTCTCCTTTCTATAACCCAAGAGTTGCTTAGTGTTCTTAGAAACTGTTTCTACTTTACAAACATTTGATCTGGGAGGAGAACAAGATAAAACACTTAAGTGCAATATTTTTTTCAACTATACTTCCTAGTATGGCACTGTAGAATAAGCACTGGACTGCTAATCACAAGGTTGGCAGTTCAAAACCACCAGTCACTTCTTGGAAACCTTATACAGGGTCGCAATGAGTCAGACCTATCTCAACAGTACTTAACAACGACAATCCTTCACAAATTGATATTTTATTAAAAATACAATCAAAATGTATTACTAAAAGAATGAAATGGAAAAAAAGACATGGAAATTACAAGCTACATTTTTATGATTTCAAGCAGCTGAAGGTCGGTTCTGGACTAGGAATTATATGCTCTAGAGAGAGTACTTCACCTGCCTCCTCGCCTTTAAGAACATGCTTCTCTCAAGGAGACTTGATGTCATGTGAAGAAGAGGACCTACCATGGTGCCCTGTTCATCTCCCTCCAGTTCTTGGATGAATCTGTAATACTGTAGCTTAGCTGTTTGCTCGTCTACAGTCTCTCTCTTTAACATGAATGAAAACTGTAGGAGCAAATGGACTCTCTGGCTTTTTTTCAATTTCACTGCTAGAGCCTAGGACTGTTAATTTCATTAGTTAAGCCTCTCCAGTTTTGTTCTTTTATTCTTTTTTTCAATTGTCAGCATGTCTGGTGTGGCACTACTGGATAAGCACTGGACTGCTAACCAAAAGTTTGATGGTTCAAACCCACCAGTACACTCCTCAGAAACCCTTTACAGGGCTGCTATGAGTTGGAACTAACTCAAAAACATTTAACAAAAACATGTAGAAATGTGGCTCTTTGCCAGAGCAGCTTAAAAATTTTGGAATCAGGCACACAAGCATACATTTTCTAACAATAACTGCTACCTGGTGTCAATAGTTTTTCTTTTGTAGTCAACTAAGTATCTCAAAACTTCATAATCAGACATTTTATATCAACGGCAAACCAAGTATAAAGATTAAGGAACTAGTTATATATAATTTTGGTTTGATGTACAGAAAAAAAAAACTACTAAAAATGACAGAATGAACACATCTAAAAAACATTACATAATGAAGAGAGGTAAAAGACGACACATCTCTTCAATTTAAAAAAAAAAAGTGAATATCAAAATAAAATCTTGTATGTCTGAAAGTGTCAAATTGTTTAAAGTTAAGATATCCAATGCTTACACTCTTAATACAAAATCCATCCATTGTGTAAATATTTAACTAAGTCCTAAAATACTATAAAACAGTTTACGTAGCAATTCCACACTTAAACTTGTCCAAAGAAAACAAAGATTCTACGAAAATAAGATATTCATAGCATTACTCTAGATGTCCAATAGTAAGAGATTAGTTAAATAGTATATTTCATGGAAAATAGCAATATGATACTAGACAATATGATCCCATACTGCATATCTAGAAAAACATATATCAAAATGATCATAGTTAAAATGTGTGGCATTACATGTCATTGCAATTATTTTTGCTTCTCTATATTTTCTTATTTATCTGTAGTAAACAATAATAATATAGTAAAGAATAAGATATAAAACATTTAAAAAGATAAATCTATAAAAGGAACTCTTTCAATCAAAAAAGGATTGATCAGTTTTAATCCAACTATGTATGGTTTTGTTCTCAAGTAATAAGAGGCTCAAGTAATTAGTTAAACTGATTTGTAGATAAAACAAGACATTTGGAGACTTCTTAAGTTGTGTGAGAATTAGTCTCAAGAGCTTTATGGACACATTAACATGATAATCTCAAACTGCTAATGACAAGCGAGGATGCCTAATGTGTTTTTGAAAACACCAATATGGCAACATAAACATAAACTTACAACTCTCATTCCATTTGATCTGCACTTACATTGTTGTTGCCATTGAGTCTGTTCCAATTCATAGTAAACCTATGAGACAGAGTAGGGTTTCCAAGGCTGAAATCTTTATGAGAGTAGACAGCTAGATCTCTCTTCTCCCTCCGAACAAGATGCAAGTCTACAGGCCAACCTTTTACTTAGCAGCTGAAGGTTTAACCATTTTACCACCTTTGGTGCTGTGGGTTAATGCACCAGAATGCAAAGCCATTTGAACAGCAAGGTCGACAGTTCAAGCTTACCAGATACTCCTCGGAAACCCTATACATGGTCGCTATGAGTCAGAATCGACTCGATGGCACTTAAGAACAACAACAATTCATATTAAGTTTTTCTGGTATGGTTCTGTAGGATAAGTATTGAACTGTTAATCACAAGGCCAGTGGTTCAAACCCACCAGCTACTCCTAGAAAACCCTATACAGGGTTGCTGTGAGTCAGAACCAACTTGAAGGCACTTCACGACAACAACAAAATCATCTGAAAAACAGAACCAAAAGAATGGTCCTCAGAAGAAAATGTGATCTCCTGGTCTTCAGAAAATAATTTAGTGAACATATATCATGGACCTGATTTCTAGAGCTGTGGTTTTTTTAATAATAAAAGTGAAAATTCTTTCTAGAGAAGTTGGTTTGCAACACCAAGTACAAAAGTTTTTAGCAAATACCACACCGTAACCTCTTATATGTCTAACTCTTTGTCACTCCAGTTCTTTTTTAATTAACAGAGGCATGGGTAGAAAACTACAGCTTCACAAAGAATGTTAAAGCACATGGAAAAGAACCTTAGAGATCATTTAGTCCAAACACTTAATTTTATAAATATGAAAAATCCAGGCCAAGAGAACTGGTGACAAGCTAAACTAGAACTGGGTGTCCTGCCTCTAAGGTCAGTCCCCTTTCTATAAAAATTCCCAGAACATCAGTTTTATTTAGAAATTAACTATCCACCCACAAGGTTAGATAAAATAGCAACGTCAGTATATATACAGACCTTGCATCTGGTAGCTGTATGGTGCCTGTCCAGGTTGAGGGGTACCAAAGCTTGTACCATAGCTTAGAAATCCTGTCTGTCCAGGTGACTGAGACTGTGACAATCCACCTTCAGTCTTGATGCCTGCCCACAATGCACCTAAATCAGTTAGTGATAGCTTATCTATCTGTTCATTTTCAAAAGCTGGTAAATATATAACACACACACTGACATACAACTGTTTTTGCACAAATACTTCCTAATATTAGCAAAGGGTATACATGGTTAAGAGTGAAATACTAGAAGCTATAACTCTGATTTAAAAATTCATAGTGATTTCAGATCTGAATGCCCATTAACAGTGATCTTTCTTGTCTTTTCTGAATCCAACTTTCTACAAAATATAACTCTGTTCATAAGATAAATACAATGCATTTTGTTGTTTTGCAAGAGTTAATGATCACCTCCTTTGTAGTCAAAGATATGACCATACTTAAATCTTAGCTATACTATGCCAAATATTGCTATGTTGATTGGTATTGAAATAAAAAGCCTATGATTTAAAATGTGACTAAGTAGAGCTTTTCTTCTCATAGCAGTTGTGGGGTTTTGGGTTTTGTTTTCACTTTTTGCATGACATAGCTGATTTTAGTGTCCAACTCATTTTGAAGTCAGATGAAGGAATACTGGGTAGAGCAACAAGGTAATAAAGCCTATCTGAAAATAAGAACAAAGCCAAGTAGAATACCAAAGAACTTGAATCCTATACAACAGCAGAGTTATTAATAATACAGAGAAGTTGTCAAGTATATTACCTGTTTTTCCCCTTTAATTTCAGATATTATTCAAATATCTTGTTTTAAACGTGGTTTACATTATGCTTTGCTTTTACCATATGGTAGTACAAAAAAATAATGTATTTGTGGAACTCAAATACTTCCTAAAGCTGCACTCTGATAGCCTAACTTCAGGACTTTGGTAAGGCACGATGTTATACAGGACTTAGCCCTAGATCATAATTAAAGACAGTCATGAGAGCTAACAACTGTCCTAAACACCCACAGAAGAAGGGGAGGAACATTTCTGCCAAGGGAATTCACATTTTTGAATAATTTTACTTTGCACTTAAGATAAATGATATCTTTAGGATCTAAAATACACAGTAGTTTTACTGTTTATTTCCATTTTAGGGGAATTTCATCAGTAGAATGAAGTTAGGTAACTTTCCTAAGGCAGTGAAAGAATCTGACTCTTGGCTGCAGGAGTCTATGTAATTCCTGGAGCATCTCTAAATAACCTCATACTGACCTTACCATTTAAGTCTTAACATTTAAAAAAATAAAACAAAATAGTGCTTAATTGTACAGGCAATCCCAAACTAAGGAAGGAACCATACATATAAATAAATGGTCCCCGGGCAAATGCTTGCCCAAGACAACTGGCTTGATGGTTACAGAAAGAAGCCTATGTTGTTACCCACTAGGGATAGTTCCCCTTTTTCTCCCCATTGGAAGCTATAATGATCCACTTCAGCCTTTACCTTTGCTATTTCTGGTTTTAACCTGGAGGACCAAGATGTGCATCTTTGTGATAAGAACAGCCAAAGGGAAGGTAGTAAATAACCTTTGGTTGGGTGATTGGTTATGTGCCATGGAGTCGGTTCCAACTCATAGAGTTCCATAGGTTGCAAATCTGTATGGGAACAGAAAGCCTCATCTTTCTCCTACAGAACCACTGGTAGTTTCGAACTGCTATCCAAGAGGTTAGCAGACCAACTCATAACCGCTATGCTATCAAGAGCTCCTAGATACACTTATACTCAGACATGTTATCAGGAGGGACCAGTCTCTGGAGGAGGATATATTAGCTAAAGTGTAGGGTCAGCATAAAAGAGGAAGACCCCAAAGAGATGGATTGACACAGTGGCAGCAGTAATGGGCTCAAACATAACAGCAATTGTGAGGCTAGCACAGGACTAGGTGGTATGTTGTTCTGTTGTAAACAAGGTCCCTATAAGCTGGAGGCAGCTCGACGGCACCTAACAACAAGAAAACAACAAGAAAACACAAGATGGCAAAAGCATCTCAACAGTAGACTCCAAGCTAATCCAGTGAAGAACAAACAGTATGAGTTGTTCTTCTTTATTTATCTACGATTCACAATATGAAAAGGTATCTCTATCTTTTTCTATAGGGTACAAATAACAAAGTCAGGAGCACACGTCCTTGGAGAAAGGCTTTTAGGACTATTTGGACCATGACTATAAGCAATTAAAAACCATATACTATGTGTTCTTCCTTCATAAGCAACACATGGGAGTGAAGATTGCAATTGCTTTTTGATGCAATGTGAAACAAAAGACAGAGGACCCCTTATTAGAAGCACTGGGTAATCTCTTAATATTCAAGGCCCTAAGAGAGAAGAAATGTCAAGGAATGAGAAATATTCTCAGGAGATTTATAACCATGGAAAGCCCTGGGATCCTGTGTTTTACACTAACCACCTCACTGATTCCATCGCTCACATCAAAATCCTCATTCTCTCTACTAGCTCTGACACTTTTCCTAAGATCTCTGCTCACCTCACCCTCTTGGAAGAACTATCTCATTTATAGATATTTATTTATGGTTTAGAACTAGAGGAATTCCAGCCCCACACATTAGAAACTGGCAAAGGGGGCGGGGGGGAGAGGGGCACAGGTCCTTCCATGATTGACTTGAAAGGAGAGAGGACAGAACTGTGTAACTGGAACACAAGGTAGAAACAAGAATAGTAACCTTCCTACAGAAGCATGGGTAAGTCTAGAGTACCTGAGAATTATTTGTACTGAAATATTTATATTTCAAACAATCATCTTACAAAAAAATCTTTAAGACTGGATTGCCTTGATTTATCATAGTAGAATTGAAACTATTCAATTCAAACCATAGATCCTTTTTCTTCTTTCAGTTCAAAAATACTTTAAAAGTATCATTTACAGATAAATACATGTGAATCCTACCTAACAATATATGAAAGCTTGAATAAATTTTACGTAAATAAAAGATAATTTTATAAAATCCATATTATGATTGTTTTCAATGTCTACTTCCCAAAATGTTTCGTGAGATTACATTCAATTCTGACAGTCACGAAATTAAAAAATTTAAAGACTAAAGTTATACACAGTTTAGATTTTGCTTTCTATACATTTGATTAAGAAATTTCTATCTAGTCAATCTAATTTGGGGTTAAAAACAAAGAATGAAAAGGGAAAAAGTAAAATTACTTTGTAATTATTAATAAAATGCTGTATAAAAGTAGCTTTCATTCGTTCAATATATTACAGAAAATAGTATTACAAAAGAATAATACTATCAAAAGTATAATTGGACTGGTCACACAAAAAATATTTCTAAAAGCACAAAATTACTCAAAGAATTCAAAGATGCCAAAACATATATTGTGACCATCTGTGCCCTTAGTGATTCCAATTATAATTTCAATCTTATTAGTCAGATAGAAACTATAAGAATTTTCCATAAAATAGGCCATATTTTACTAGATGCTTGCCACATAAGTATCATAAACATTCTGAACTGGTCAAGTTTCTCTTAATATCAGGATATTTATTCCATCAGTCCTTTATTTCAAATCCATGTTCTCTATAATTTCATTTTTTCATAATATGCCAATAATCCTTACTTTACTATTTAGTTCAGTTTGCTTAAAAATGGAAAACAAATTGAAATTCATTTTTAAAAAATGTGTTTTGAAATGTAAAGGTTTTGATTAGATAGTGAGATTTGCTGAGTTTATTTTTAATTTGCAGGTATTTACTCTGTAACAATTAAGATAAATTATACCAAGATAAAGATAATCTCCAGGTGGGAAGGAACAAATGAAGAGTGAGCATTAATTGTTTCCTGATGTGCCTCTTTAAAGTGCATCCCAGGAGGTGATATATGGATCAATTTCCCTAATTGTTGATAATGCTAAAATTTCATAACACTGCCACATTCAAGTTTAGAGTTTGTTGAATTCTGCTTGTACTTCCTCAATCTTAGTTGGGTGTCTGATAAGTATGAAATGGATCTTTAGTCCAAAAGAATTCATTCAGAGAAGTTTTATCACAAATATGCACAAAAATATTTTGGATTCCTGAGACTAGTGCTCAAATGTCAAATTGAGATATAAATGGAGAAAAACAAGAACACAAGGGCATATAAACCATGCAATTAATCTATTTGCCACCCACCTCTGACCTCAAGATAAGTAGCAACCAGTTCTCATAATGTTCAGTAGAAAGAATCATATTGAGAAGTTAGATGTAAAAGATGACAGCACTTTCTAAAGTGACCCAAGATCAACAGCATTTAAACATCCTTCCTGTGAAACTTAAAAATACATTATCTACCCAACTAGATGATGCCTCCCATAGTGGGTACTCACCATATGAGGAAATTCCATATGGCTGCCCTGGCTGTGGATATGTGGCATACGCTGTAGCTTGTTGCATTCCTGTGGTAAATTGTGTTTGCCCATATGCAGCCATAGTTTGTGAGGAAGGGGTAGGGAGAATATGTGGATACTGTCTGCTGTTAATCAGAAATGACAAAAAATAGAAAATGCATGCATTAGATAAAAGCCAGGTAACTGATCAACAGCCACATCACAAGGTCAGTTTAAGATTATGTCTTAAAGAAAAACTTGCAAATATACAAAGTACTGAAATATTCAGTGTCACTACTAGATGATGCTAAAAATATGTTTGAATAAGTATATCTAAGCCTCAATGAAATTTAACCTCTAGTTCAAATTAAGATACAAGTGGGCAGAGACATGACTTGAAATAAAGTATACTTATAACAATTATTGATTTTTTAAATCTAGCGTATTGATTGGTTGTATGGTCTATTTGCATATAATGATAAAAAGAAAATACATCTTACTTGGAAGGATAAATCTGTGGTGGGAACTGGTGAGTTGGTCTTGGGCTGAAGCTACTGCTCCCAATTGCTGGGGGGGGGGGGGGGGGGGAAGGGAGGAGAAAGCATAATAATTAAAGCAACATACAAAGTATGAATGAAGCATTAATACAGTTTGAACGATAAGTTGATCAGATTTTACCCTTTTTGTCTGCAGAAATGCCAGATTCATTTAGTTCAACTTAGTAAAATGATGAACTATTAAAAAAAAAATAGTTCTAACTTTAAATTATTTCTTAGAATAAGGCATTCCCAATCATCAGTATCTGTAAGCATGCTGTGATGGTTTTTCATAGTGGTAAAACTTTCCTAGGACATGAAATTCTGACTGTTTGGAGAGACATGCTGAAAAGGGATATCTGAAGTTGAATTACAGGGCTGAGCAGGACTGGAAAAGGTCATTTGGCCTATTGTCTGCCCTCAGCAAGAACACACAAGTCTCAGACTGTATTACCAAGAAACATGGTCTAATCTTCGCTTAGGTCGAGTACAAATAGGATAGAGCCTCATTTTGCCTGCATGGATTTAGCAACTTTTTTTAGTAAAAATGCATTCCTACTACTATCTTAAATTTCTCAAGTTGCAAGCTAAGCCTGTCTTTTCTTGTGTTGATCTGGGGTTTTCCTTTGCCTTTCAGTTTTACATATTCAATTTGAGAGTTCAAGAGAAAAAGGTTGTTTTAAAAAGAGGTATTTGAACATTTAAACAGAATTTAATTTCTTTTTAATCACATATACTTGACACTATATGTTCAGAAATACAATAACCTGTCCTAGCAAACATTCTTTGGCACTCATTTTGAATTAAATCAACAAGAACACATTTTAACATAAAGCCTTACAAGAGTTCTCAGCTTCACAGTGGTAAAAACAACCTGGTACTGGTACAATGAAAGATACATTGATCAATGGAACAGAATTGAGAATCCAGAAATTAACCCATCCACATACAGCCAACTGATTTTTGCCAAAGTGCCTAGGCATATTGCATGGGGAGGAGATAGTCTCTTTAGCAGATGGTGCTGGCAGAACTCGAAAGCGATAAGCAAAAGATTGACAAAAGACCTTTAACTCACACCCTATATAAAAACCACCTCAGCATGGCCTAAATGTGAATCCCAAAATTATGAAGGTCATCAATGAAAAAATAGGGACAAATGTGAGGGTTCTAATTCAGGGCATACACAGACTACCAAACATTTTGAAAACTACAAACAAAAGTAAACAAAATAGATGATTGGGATACACTAAAAATTAAAAACTTATGTTCATCAAAAGACTTCACCAGAAGAGTAAAAAGGGAACCCACAGAATGGGAATAAAAATCTTTTGCAATGACACATCAGTTAAGGGACTAATTTCTAAAATATATAGGAAACTACAACACCTCTACAAGAAAAAGACAAATAACCCTATTAAAAAATGGGCATAGGACATGAACAGACACTTCACCAAGGAGGAGATCCAGGCAGCCAACAAACATATGAAGAAATGTTCACATTCACAATCACTAGCCATCAGATAGATGCAAATCAAAACAACAAAGAGATATCATCTCACACCAGCAGTAACAGCAAAGATAAAAAAAGTAGAGGACAATAAATGCTGGTGAGGATGTGGAGAGACTGGGACACTCCTACATTGTTGGTGGGATTGCAAAATGGTCCAACCACTCTGGAAAGTAATACGGCACATCCTCAGAGGGTTGGAAATAGAAATACCTTATGATCCAGCAAGTCCTCCAATTGGTAATTACCCACAAGAAACAGGAACCGTAACACGAGTAGATATATGCACACCAATGTTGATAGCAGCACTATTTACAATAGCAAAAAGATGGAGACAGCCTAAATGCCCATCAATTGAAGAATGGATAAACAAACTGTGGTACATACACACAATGGAATACTATGCTACCTCGATGAACATTAAGGAAGCTGCAACCACAGCATAACATGGATGAACCTTGAGGACATTATGCTGAGTGAAATAAGTCAGTCACAAAAGGAGAAATACTGCATAGGACCATTATTGTAAAAGACTAAGAAAAAGAACTCACCGTAAAAGGGGGAAAATTTTATATATAATTGCTGATCACCAGGATGTATGGGATGAAAGGAGGGGAGGGAGAGAGGGGAAGATAGAGCACAGGGTAGGGAATAGACATAGGATAGCTTGGGTTCTTGGTGGGGGGGGGGGGGGGGGGGGGGCAGAACACAAGAAAGGGGAGGGGAATGGAAGAAGGTTTGCATGGGTTAAGTGGGACAGAGATAAATGAAGATGTATGCACAATCTTGGAACAACAGGGCTTCAGGATACAGGGATTGAGGCATGGTTTGAATGGGTAAAAGAGGGGAATAAGATGCTTGGCTGTCTTTTGAATCTTGGTTTCCTTTGCCTACCATTGTGAAATGGACACTTGGGGGGGGGAGGGGCAGGGGAAGGAGTAGCCAGAAACATCACAATAGAAAGCTTGTAAGTCCGTCTTCAGCCTATATCTGATTGGCAAAGGAGACTAAAAGTTGCCCAGTGAAAGAGGCCTCCTGTGTAGCTTTGCATTGCATAAGACGATAGGTAGAAAACAGAACCCCATCCAGAACCGGCTGAGGTGGGAAATTTCCACTGGAAAGGACGAGTAGACCAGCCTGGAGTGGGTAAAAGAATAGAAGATACTTCATGAAGAAAGACCAGCAGGAAAAATCCGAAACAATAATGGCAGTCTGATTATTATAAGAATAAGTAAGCTGGGAGTCAAGGCAAGTGGTCAGATCCCCTCCGAGCAAACTCCCTTTCAAGACTAAGACTCAAGGGGAATACACGAGCAGGTATGTGGTCTCGCTGGTGATCACATTAGTCAGTGATAAGGGGAAGAGGGGGGAAAAACAGCAATGAAGTTGGGATCTGAGTCCGACCACATTCAACAGACTCCTGTGAACCCAGGTAGAGACCTGGATGGCCAGCAGTATGGCAAGACCCGGGAACTCCTGGGCCCAGAGGCAGTGACATGGTCACAGAGGACTAGAGTGGAGAGTGAAGCGTCCAGCTAATGAAGTGAGGGGAGACGCACTTATGAAGTGGGGGGAGATGCACAAGAACACCCATACTTGCAGATAGTACCCACTTGACCTGGCTGCAATGGCTGGATGATCAGAACTCAGCTAGAAGAAGAAAGAAGAGAGAAGTGGGGAAAAAAAAAAAGAGTAACCCATTACAATTTGATGAACTTTACCTATACATATGGATGTAGTATCTCAAATAAGGGAACAAATCTTCACAGCAAGGATCACTCCCACCCCCTTGGTACACAGGGTTGACAGGGATGGGCAACTTGGACATTGGCTACCCAAAATGGGGGGGAAGGGTACTACGAAAGCAAGAAGTGACTGGCTTACAAACTTTCAAGAGGGAGCCTAGTTCCAGACAGGCAGGGGTAGGTAGCACCAGATAGAATCTCCACTGAATGATTTCCAATCTGTTGGGACTGGGCTGGCGAAAGGAAATGGGGCTAAGACTCTTGTTGTACAATAGTGAATAATTGCATCAGGACTGACTGTGAGGGTAGGAAATATAGAGGTAGATGTTTTTTGACAAAAGGAGGGAAGTGCAGCATAGGAGTGGAGATCCCTAGGACCATGAAGTGAGAAGAGCAGACAGCGTGACACTACCCAGAAAGGCAGTGATGCCAGGGATGGAGACAGAGACGTGGACAGATGGAGTGGCTGGGGACACTGGACTCAAGAAGGGAGAGGGGCTGTGTGCTGACGACCTGGGGGTGGGCCTATGGGGTATATACCCTTTGGTTATTTGATGATGCATGGAGGGGATTATAATCATTGCAATGAAACAAAATACAATAGGACGAATGTAAAATTGATGTTCTCCCATGTAAACCCACATAATTCACACACACAAAAAAAAGTTCTCAGCTTCTTTCATCATAAATAAGGACAATCTAAAATTTCAACTATACACACATACATTTATGTTTCTATTTCTTTTTGCTCAACCTCTTCCTAATCTCTAACTGTCTAAAACCCATATTATTTGGTCGTAAGTAATATACTTAGTTTTCATCTTCTATCACGAATCCCTGTATTTAGAAGCTCTATTATTTATTAACTGTATCCCACATTAAAATCATCTCATAGTTCCAGCCATTCAACAGTTTGTATATTTTTCATGAAATCACTTCAATACCCATATGCTTCTCAATTGCAGTTTACCAGTTTGGAATTAGGAGAACAGCGGTAGAGTTGGACTAGAATCTCAAAATCTAGAAACAATCCTTTCCTTTTAAAGCAAATAGTCCTAACACAGTGACAATATAATAGATCTAGATTAGTACTACTTTTGGAAGCTGCCAGAAGACTCAACCATCTGGTTGCCAGTTTGGCAAGGACAAATTTTGTGTTTAAGTGAGGTCAGGCTAACCCAGCTGGTCTCCCCGTGTCTTTTGGCACATAGTAAATCATAACTCTCTTCCAAGTGGTGTGCTAGATACTGCAAATGCAAACATGCAAAGACAAGTTCAGCCTCTTATATTAGATAAGGCACTATTATAAAAGGGAGGGAAGGATTAGCGAGAGAGAGAACTTGGACTACAAAGACAACCATTTGCCCTGATCATCTGAGAGTACCACCTCTGCTACTTCCCTTTTCTAGGTCTAAGAGGGGTCAAGAATAAAGCAGATGTATCCACCTAGTCACTGGAAGAGTAATATCTTACATTGGGACAATCATAGTTATTTTTAAAAAGGAAACAAACAAAAATGTCCCCCATTGGTGGTAGCAACAGCAATCACTTTTTTCTAACTCCATTGTTGTGTTTTCCAAATTGTAATTTGGAAATAAATCATGATCCATAAAAAGTACCCAATGGTTTTTAAAAAACAGACCAGAATAACACAGTAGAAGATAAGAGAATTGTTACACAGGGTAAAGGTATGTTCTCTGGGGCTTTCAGAATATGCACATATGGAGTGTGTGTGTATACACGAGAAAAGAGACTTGAGAGGCGGTGTTGTTGTTTTAA